AGTCAATATGTGTGTACATTGAATCTCATATTTCAAAAAGTAATTATTTTAATATATTATTTAGTATTACTTATATTTAGTATCATTTTCTCTTTTTTTTTATAATTATAATAAATTATATTAAATTTCTTTATTATAGATACATTGTATATAAAGAAATAACAAATAGTTAAAAACGGGCGTATAGAGCTGGATAGAAGTGTATTAATAGAATTTAATTATATCTAGAAAAATAAATACATTCGAATAAGTCTATGTCGACGGTGACATTACAATAATAACAGACAAGCTAAACATATGTACATTATTAAAGGCGAACGTTTCGATCGATTTTTCGATCCTCTTCAGCGCAAACAAATATGTAGGTAAATAAATTCGAAAGAAATTAACGGAATATAAGTTAAACATTACGAAATTCAAAAAATAAAAGTGGATGTTAAATGTCGATACATTCGCGCAATGATATGAAATAAATACGGATAAAGCTAATAGAAGTATAAGTCAGGATTATAATCCGCAAAACGCATTAAATATGGTCGTCAAAAACAATGCAATGTCACAGAATAAAAAGATGCAAAAGGGGGAGGATCGAAAAATCGATCGAAACGTTCGCCTTTAATAATGTACATATGTTTAGCTTGTCTGTTATTATTGTAATGTCACCGTCGACATAGACTTATTCGAATGTATTTATTTTTCTAGATATAATTAAATTCTGTTAATACACTTCTATCCAGCTCTATATCCAGCCCATTTTTAACTATTTGTTATTTATTTAATTAGAGCCTTGATCACTTTATTGTATATAAAGAAACTTTTAGTATAAATTATAAAAATTATAATAACATCACGAAAAATAATTTGAAACTTAATGTATCATATTTAATGAAATATATACACATATTTGAAAGAGAAATACAAAGATGAATCTTTTCTACAATAAAAAAAATGTTTAAATAAAATGTTGGCGCACTAATTCCACGGATACCTTTCTAGATATATTAATGCACTATTAATTAGTATCAAAACAGCAATATTATTGAATTGGAAATACTAGTTTAAAATTATCGTCTGATAATCATCGATTTTTAGTAATAATGATGTCTAATAATAGTGATCGATGATGAAAGATCGAAAATTACTTCACACTTCACTAGAAATACTTTTATTTAAGGACATCTTCATTACAAAATATTGTGCTCTAAAATAATGAGTTATTAAATGCGTAATACATAATAAACGAAAAAAGCTCTAAGCACTTAACCTTTCCAGTAATTGGATTTATAATTGTCAATCCATCAATAATTTAAATATGATTTACATCAATAAAATATTTTGTTCTCCTCATATATCATTCATATTCATATAGTCATATTATTGATGTAAACGATGTTAGAATTAGGAAGTATATCTTATGCACATTTGCATAAATTTCGTGCAATATTCTATTAATACAATTATTAACAAACAAGCTCAAATTATTATAAGACGTTTTATTATGATCTCCAAGTTATTGCGTTTCGCAAGCTTCATAGACATTATTTCGTCGAAATAATGTCTATAAAATTGTTTTAAATAAACTTCTTGAACATCCGTTTGTATATGAAATTATAATGGTGATTTATTTGAAATTAAATTACGGATTTCTTTACTAAAATATTATATTGAATAAAAAAATTATATATATTTACTCAAAAGAAAACAAATGTTACTTAAGTAATTGCCAGGATCACGTAATGCATTTAAGATTAGCAGAAGGTGTAACGTGTGTAACTTTTTCGTAAGCTGTTTCATTTATTTTACTTTTTGAATAATTTATTTAAAATATTTTATATTGTACTCAATTCGATATATATACAAAAATTATATATACAAAATTTATGTATATGTATATGTAAATTTATGTTTATGTATATGTAAATTTATGTATTATATTTAATCTTGCAATTTTTTCCAATAGAAAGATTCTGTAGATTCTGATAGATTGAACAAAAAATCGATGAAACTAATCAAGATAAATGAATAGTAGATAAATGAATATGTAAATGTAAATGTTCATTAATCAGTTTTAAAATATTTTTCTAATAGAATATAATTTCTAATTTCTTGAAAATTATTAAAAATTGAACAAGTATTTAACATACTGTTTTGTCTAATGCAATTCTGTACACTCTAATTCTCGATTGAATGCAAGTTCCACGACATTGTAGACTGATAATAATAGTTGCCTTTACGAATATACTTGAACAGTAATATATTTTAATTGTTGAAGATGCATTTGGCATGAAAATATTTCATTATATTTTAACTGTTTGAAATTTCCTTATACTTTGTTATATTTTAATTGTTTGAAGTACATTCGCGGCATTGAAAATGTTTCGTTGTTTCCACGATTCATTTGTCCTTCGTGGTCACACGTCGCGATATACGTAGCAAAATATTTATACTTAGCTCTTGCGAAACAAAATTATGTGGCATGTCCATAAAGAATATGAAAAAAAGAAAATGAAAAATGCAGAAAACAAAAAAGAAATGAAGAAAATAAAAACAAAATATGATGAATATGTATAAAAATGCATAATTCTTGATTACACATTAGTAATCTAATTACACATTAGTAGAATAATGTTATTTTGATATAAATCGAAAAAATAGTGAATAAAATTGATTTTAATTATTTTCCTATTATCTGTTGCAAGTTCAAGGATTAAATATTAATGTAGTAGTTTTCATCTCGACATTCATAATCTATTATTAATATTCATAACTATTGCTTTTATAATTAAGTAGAATAAGTAACAAATAAGTGTACATAGATAGATAAATATAATAAGATAAATGTAATAAAATTTGTCAAATAATCTATGAAATGCTCGACAAATATAAAAAAAAATAATGTCTACAATGTCTGAGCAATTTTCTAAAGAAAATGAGCAATTATAACATTTCACAATGTTAATAGAAAGATCTTCTCAAACTGTTGTTTATATTTAAAATTTTCTTATATTTTACTGTTCATTTTCAAAGATCTCTTTCGTAAATAATCATAAATAATTATCAAAATTTTCTAATTTTTCACTTTGATATTTTTTTGCATGATCACATTTCGTTATTTGCCCCTTTAACTCACAGGACATAAATAATTTTGGAATTTATAAATATCTAATTATACATCGTATTTTAAAGGAAAAATAATGGTACATGATTATTAGTCGCTATCGAAGTCACTGACTTTCTCGGCCGCGTCCTTAAAAAGTTCCGGCCGCTCATTCACGCGTCCTTCGGCACTCCAGGGCTTGCGAGGAAATTGTCTGCGACTTTTTATCATCGACATTTTATATATTTATAATGTTTTGTAAAAAATATATTAATGCATGTTGCTTCTTTAAAATACAATGTATAGCCTGGAATTGCTAATTCTTAAATATATAACGAAGACATAAGACGGGTCACTGAATACATACGAATCGCACATTTCATTGTGCCTAACAATTGCGAAATGCTCAAAGAAACCGGTATACATACCATTGCTATATTTGATTCGGTAGAAATTTATGCAGGAATTGTCTACACGATATAATAGAAAAATAGTTTATATAATCTTGAAATACATTAAAAATTTATTAGGAATATGAAAAAACCAAGATTAAAAAATATTTAATTAATTAAAAAATATGTTAATTAAATGGGTAAATCTGTTTAGGATATAACAAGAAAAACCATAAATAAAAATGGACTTTGAATTTAATTCTTGTGCATTAATGAAACATTCATTGCAAACGCAGGTTAGAAACCACTAATTGACAATATTATTGAACCTGAGATTGGCATGCGAGTGAATGTGCAAAGAGATATTTCAATATATAAACTTGTACGTTGCTATATGCCATTGATAAAAGGATTTTTAATTTTAAACATTGCAATGTTTTTCTTTTTTCTCGGATTATTGAATTTGTTTTACGTATAATCAATATTGGTAAGTTAACATCAATTCAGAATAAATTAAGGATGAAGAAGCAAATTATACTTATGTAGTTTGTTAAGCAGAAATAATTAGCGTGACAAATATACAGATAGACAAATAAATCCGATTATTTATTGCAATTTCAATGCTTTATAAAGACAGATTATTTTATAATAATATCTGCATCTTAAATTAATATAGAAGTAGATGTGTAGTGAATAAAAGTCTTAAAAAAATTGAATTATAGTTATATAAAATTACTTAATATTTGATGATCTTCTTAACATTACAATTATATAATAATATTATGCTTCATTAATTATCATATTATCATATCATAATTATCATATTATATATTTGATATATATATGTATATATGTATATGTATATATATTCATCATAAATTATACATAATATAATTTCAAACAATACTTTAAACATTTTACGTTATTTTTGTTAATATATGCTAACTAAAATGAAAAATTAAAATACATAAAAATTCATTTCAAGAATCTTATTTACAAACGAAAATTCCATGTGGCATGTTGTATTATTCAATGGCATATTCAAAGCACATTAACTTAACTTTACATAGTTAGTCCAGACTTCAAGTTCGCATGTTATCTCATCTATACAGAAGTTGTAAGATTTTTTCAAAGTTTTATTATTCTTTTCAAGTTATAAGGTAAAAATGCATCAGCCGTTTTAATTAATCTTTTGTAAAGATATACAATGAAATTAAAATGAACATTTTTATGTTACGCAAAAGTAGGTTGGTCTACCAAATAATAAAATTTAAAAAAAACTCAAATGCTTTTTACAGTTTTCATAATATCAATGCAATCCGCTTTTTACAACTTTACGAGAGTCAATTACTTAATTTATTTTTTTATTTAATATATTGTTCCATTAGACTTAAAGCGATAATGCAGCTAAAAAATTTACATTAATTATTCAATTGTTGAATGTTTTTAATTGGATGAAATCACAACTTATTTATGATGAATTATAGAAATTTTTAGATTTAAATACTTACATCAAAGCCCGTTAAAATCGATGCGGTGAATTTCGGCCGGGATCTTCGTTGCTGTCCAAAATTGAGTTGGTCGACGATCGTGATGTGCAATTACCTCACTGATTTCGTGATCTTGCGACTTTTAAAAGTTCCCCAATTTTCTTATGTGATTCTAACTATTCGTCAATTCTTCGCAATCACTAATAGAATTTCTGATATTCTCCTTGATCGTTTTCGCTATCCTTTTCTCGTTTGTTCGTCGTTAGTCGTATAAAACACTTTTGCGAATCTCGGGATCATCCACGTGACTGTTTAACGGGATCAGAGTAACAAGTGCGTGCAATTGAATCGAAGTATGAAAAAGATCGGGAAAAACTAAGAAGGATAGGCAAAGGGAAGGTGGAAATAGAGAACAACGGATTAGCTGCTGCCGCAAGTTAGCGAAGCACCGTCCAGACACCGTGTGTGGAGTGGCGGGTAAATCTGTGTCTGGCGATGTCGATGCATAGTGCACTACTATTCTTTCCCCCTTTCACGGCTTACCCGAACGACGTGGACGTCCTCCGGAATGGTAGTGGCGCAATGCATAAATGACGCGATGCATGAGTTTTTACGGCATCAGACCGGTCTGCTTTGTGGTAGACATTGGCAGAGATGTATCAAAAAAATATATTTTTTTTTATTTATAGATCCATGTCAAAATATTTCTATTATTTTATATCTATTATTATTTTATTATTATTATTTGATATCTAAATATTTATTTCAAAGATTTTGAAATCATCAAATTTTAAATATTTTATTTAATTAGACAGATACTTCTAAATTAAGCATAATATTAAATAAATAGATTATAAATATTTATATATAATAAATATTTATGTATAATAATATAATTTATATATATAAATATTTATATATAATAATATAATTATATATAATTATATAGTTATATATAGTTATATAATTATACAGGGTGACCCATTTTAACTTAGGCAGCCAAATAACTCGAAAAATAAGCACACTACGAAAAAATGGTTAGAATCAAAATTTCGTCATTTCGAGGGGGACGTACAATGACGTTAAAATCAGCCCCCCCACCCCGCCCCCTGGGCGGTGAGGGGGGGCAAGTTTGAAATCTTAAATGGAACCCCCTATTTTTCATTGCATATTCTTGTAGCTTATCTCGAGAAAGCTTATCTTTCCAAAACACTATAATTAAGTACCTTTTTATTAAGTACTTTTTGAGTTATAAGGCTTGAAATAATTTCTTAATTTTACATAAACCATAAAATATCTAGTAAACCATTCATTTTTCGATTATCTTACCTTCATACTTTTATGTACAAAATAATGAGAGGAATCAATTGGTGTAAAGAAAACACATAGTTGTTTCTAAGAAAAAATATGTAATTTGCAATTAACAATTCCATATTTTTTCTTAAAAACAACTGTATGTTTTCTTTACACCAATTGATTCCTCTCATTATTTTGTACATAAAACTATGAAGGTAAGATAATCGAAAAATGAATGGTTTACTAGATATTTTATGGTTTGTGTAAAATTAAGAAATTATTTTAAGCCTTATAACTCAAAAAGTACTTAATAAAAAGGTACTTAATTATAGTGTTTTGGAAAGCTCTCGAGATAAGCTACAAGAATATGCAATGAAAAATAGGGGGTTCCATTTAAGATTTCAAACTTGCCCCCCCTCACCGCCCAGGGGGAGGGGTGGGGGGGCTGATTTTAACGTCATTGTACGTCCCCCTCGAAATGACGAAATTTTGATTCTAACCATTTTTTCGTAGTGTGCTTATTTTTCGAGTTATTTGGCTGCCTAAGTTAAAATGGGTCACCCTGTATATAGTTATATAGTTACATATAGTTATATATAGTTATATATAGTTATATATATAGTTATATATATAGTTATATAGTTATATATAGTTATATATAGTTATATATAGTTATATATAGTTATATAATTACATATAGTTTTATATAGTTATGATAGAATAACCATAAATGATTTTTTTTTATATTGATTTACGACAATGGAAAGAAAAAAAAATTAGGAATAGAATTTATAAAAACATTTGGAATAAATCATTGTAATTAAATTGTTTGAGACATGTCTGATTTAATTGCTTTTTATAAAAAAATATGTAAATAGTAACAATCATACAAATTTATCATATATCTCCGTATCATTTGCAAATATAATATTTATAAACTGAATGGAAAATTGATTTTAATATTTACAACTCTTTTAATCTCTAATTTATGATAAAATTTAAAATAATATTACAATAGTATATTACATTTATAATTAATTTATAATTATAATTCCTAATTTATAATTTCTAAAGTAAATCTCTCTTTATTTTAAGAGAATTACGATAAGAATTAAATTTAAAGTCAGTTTAAAAATTTTATAATATCAGAATTTTTCAAATATACATTTATTAGTGCATGTTCCTCTCAAACATATTCGTCATCTTATTACTTAAAATCTATAATCTGGTCTAATGCTTTCTTGGAAAACATAAGTGTTGCAAAAAAAGTGTTTTTTCTGTCGAATTTTACGTATTATCTATATCAAGATTACTAAAAAGTGTTATGAAGAAGGTTTGTAGTAATGATGAGGGTAACATTTATAGTTTTATTGTTCTTTAAAACTTTGTTTTGAATTGTTTTTAATCTTTTATCGTTATTTTTAATATCGTAAATTTTTCCCTTTTGTAATGCATATTCTTTAGTCATAATGAGTCAAAATGTTTTTCCTATTTCTTTAATCATTTCAAGCAAATTATTACACTAAGCAAATAATTTTATTTTTAATTATAGACAATTTGATATCAATCTGCTTTCAAAGAATGAGAAAAAGATTATAAGATGTTTTTAATTTTTTACTACGTGTAATTTACTACTATGAATATACATTTTATATAATAAGCATCGTGGAAATTACATGTCTTAACATTGTCACATGTCTTAATATGTTTAACATTGAATTAATATATTAATTTTAAAAATGAATTTATGATTGATTTAATATATAATAATGCACATTATTTATCTCATTTTGCATAAATATTTCGCTTTGATGACACAAATATATAAACAAATATATAAAAAATAAAAATATATAAAAATAAATATATAAACAAATATATAAAATATGCAAATATATAAAAATAAATCTTTTAATCTTTAAAATCTTAAACTTTAAATAAGTTGCAATGTATTTGTATAAAGACAAATAAAACTTCAAATATTAAATATTAAATATTATGTTACTTTAAATATAAACTTTATGTATAAACTTTAAATATTATATACTGATAGTTTATGATAATTATTTTGTAAAACCTACACATTTATACGTAATAAGTTAAAGAAGACAATTTTCTATAAAAAATATGACAAGTTTTCTATAAAAAATATAAATTTGATTTATTAAAGTTAAATTAGAATAATTGTGTGTGTGATATATATGTGTTTACGTATATATCCTATAGATGTTATTTAATTCATATTTCATAAGATCAAATTTTATTTTCTTAAACTATAATATTTTTATGTTAGTCTTTAACTTTAATTAATAAAAATTATATAGATAAAATTATTTACTAGAAACAAAGAATGCGGACAACTGTTGCTCAAATTTTCACAGCTCGAGATTGAACTTCATTTTTGGCTTAAAATAAAGTTTATAAAGATTACAATAAAGATCACAAATATGTAAGTTTCTAGATGGATCGAATTACTGTTTCGAAGAAAATAGTCGATGAAATAAGTATCTTTTAAAAGGGTAACAATTAAAATTTTTATAAAGATGAAAATTAAAACTTTAGAAAAACATATATAATATAATATTTTTGTATTAATAACATTGATACAAAATTTATCATTTATAAATCACAGAAATGAGATGCGTACATTATTATAATCTAACCATTTCTAAATGGTAAGTGAATTTTAGTGAGAAGCAGCTTCAGTGCAATAAACACTCAACAAGCACGATATTTAGATAGTCTGATTTATGGAATGCCTATTTTGTAATAATGTTGTCACACAAATGTAAGCCATGTAAAAGGATTAAAAAATAATAATGTTTCTCGTGATTTTTTGGAATTTATAATTTTTCTCACTTATATTAATGCTTACGTATATTTATGATGAAGTGACATATATTTATCAAACGTTTATTACTGAGCATCGATATAAGAGGATTATATTCTCTCATAATAATTTATTATGTTAATCTTGTTGAAATGATTTTTCTTGAGTGGAAAAGTCTGTTTTCTCTATGCTTATTGATTTCTTTTAATTAAATTCTTAAGTAAATATTTTACATATTCAGAAATAAAAACAGATCCTTACATAATGCTATAATTTTTTCTTTATTTCTGAGTTTTTATATTTTAAAGCAATGTAATAAACAAATTTTCATTTTTTATAGTGAAACAAGCTTCAACTTGAGTATAATTCTTCAATTATGTTGACATTTTAAATATTGATGCTGTATCGTACGTCATTTGCTTCTTGAATGTCATGACTAAAAGATAAGACTATTTGCTATTAAATACATTCCTTAGTATATCAAATAAAACGTCCAATCATCATTACGAAACCTAGCTATTTATCTTTCAATTACGTATACATGAAAATCCATCTGTTTATGACTTACGCGACGTATGACCTTCAAAGTCTTTATAAAGTTCACACAAATGCTTTGTTTATTATTTTATTTTGTTTATTATCTTACCTTCTCTTTTCTTTCGTTATCTTTCGTTATCTTTCGTTTTAACGAGTTCTCACGTTTTCGATTCTTTGTTATTCAAAATCAGATGATATTTGCAAGTAAAACATGTGATTTACAATGAGACTTACATGTGTAGCTAAATGCCATATAATTTATTCAACCCACATTACTTAACAATAAATAATACAATAATTTATCATTTAAAACAATAAAAATGTGTGAATCTAACAAAAGCCGATTTATAAAAATAATAAGTAATTTTAATATAAGTATTATAATTTTAAAATTACTTATTATTATATATAATATATAATATGTATTTTTAAAATCATATATATATATATATATATATATATATTTATCCATTTATACATTTAAAATAATATGTTATTTCGTTGAATTCTGATTTATTTTTAAAAAATCTAATAAAATTAAAATTAAAAATTATATTAACTATTATATAACTCATTCGAAAAATTCTACTTTTGTTAAATACTTCGTGATTTTTTTAGAGAAAGATATTAGATAATTTAGATAAACTAAAACTTTTTCTTAATTAAAATAATTTCTTTCATTATTTTAATTATATGTATAATTAAATATATTTTGTTTCAAATTACTTATATTAAATATAATTGAAATTACTTAAATTACTTATATTTTTATCTATATCAGATTCTTGTGAATATTAATATAAAAATATAAAAATAAACATATTTTTATATTAGTACTCATTGTTAGATGGTTATATACTTGTATTTTGTTGTATGCAGATTTTTTATAAGCTACTGTTAAGCAGCAAAACGGGTGACTAGTTTGCAGACGCGTTTTATACGTGTATATCAGGCTTGCTCAATCTATCGATTGTAATCGACCGGTCAGTCGCGATCGATCGATTGATCGCGGCGTGATTCTTATAGCTCAGGAACGTGCTATGAAATTTCATTCCTGTTCTACATTTTTAAAACGGTTTTTTCTCATTTAAACATGATTAAAATTTCCCAATGCTACAGTCTAATAAAGATGTGAAAGATTCACTGAGAACTCTTACACATTGTTCATCCAATTTTCAATTTTTAATGAATGAAATTCAGGCATTAATTGAGGAAGAGCATGAAAGTATTTTTTTAAAAAATAAATTGTATGGTGCAACATCAATTATTATTACACCGGTTCATCGTCTTCTATATGCCAACCGGAGGAACGCATTCTTTTCTCGTGTTTCACCGATGTCAGAACCACTAGTTATTCTCCTCTCTGTTTCCCTCTCCGTTACCGTTCATACCACTCTCTCTCTTCGCATCCTCCTCTCCACCGACCATCGTCCTTGCGCACCAGTGCCACAGTACTTGCGTCGTAGCGGCCTTGCGTGCTAACAGAGCGACCCCACTACTAACCAGTTCCCGTTACTAGTGTAGTCCGCCTTGATGCCTGATGCGGCAACAGTTGCTTCTCGCTTATTGTATTGCTCCGTCTTACTCTCCTACCATCCATTCATTTTTCTTACGTCTCCCCTCTACGTCAATTCTGCGTGCGACAGTTTTTCTCGTTGTTCGCTCGCACGAGTCTTATCCGCGCGCTTGATAAAGGCGGCAGTGTCAAGGTCAGAGTGCGAGGAACGAATGTTAAAAACGTTTAGTGTGGTGCAGCACGAGTGAAAGGATTGTTCTGCTCCTTTTTCTCTTTCTTTCTCTCCTGTCTGACCATCATTTCCGTCGACGAAACATGTCTCTCATCGTCGAATGCTTTCGTCGCCTGACGGATGCATCGTCTTGCAAGAGCGAGGTATGCGATACACGTGCTGCTTATTTTGCATGGCAAATATTGTTATGAGTGAGTGTTCTGTAATATGGAAATATGTTCATGTATCAGGGCATAAAATAAAATATATTTTGATTAATTGTGTTTTTGAGAAATAATTTATTAAATAATTTTTCTATAAATTCGTATTTTTATTTAATTATATTAAATATTTGTTTTTTTTATGTTAAATTGTATCTCTGAAATTGAAATTTAAAATAAGATTCAAGTTGTCAGTTTTTCTTTCTAATTAAATAAAAGGAAATGTAAAAATGTGGAAGTAAAGTTAGATCAATCTAATATCATATTAAACTCTCTCTCTCTTTCTCTCTCTCTCTCTCTCTCTCTCTCTCTCTTTAGTATTATTTAATGTTCCTTCGTACAATCACAATGTAAAAAAATCTTTATTTATCATGAATTTGTAATAATAATTCCTAAGTATTTAAAAGAATTTGTAATAAAATATCTTTATTTATATCTTTATCTATATATTTATTTTTTATGTGTAAGTTATAAACTTTATACTATTAATATTTTTTTAAAGCTAACAATTGATATGATATATACATATAAGAAAAGGGGAAGAATATTATCGAGTTTGAGTATCAGCGACTTTATTATTTATGATATTTGCATTTTGATATGACGTGTCAACTGACCTCGATTGAACGCCATTGAATATAAAATATAGGTCATTCAAAGAAAATTGTGCACACGCGTAAAATTTTAGCTATTTTCATCTCTAAAATCTGGAAACCTTGAATATATGATACTAATGTGAGAGCAATTACTTGCAATAAATTATTTGTTTTAGAAGTGATTACTTGCTGAATCGTAATAATCTAATATTATGTGCTGTTTAATAATATATATTTGTTAACAAAGTCTCTTTCTTCTTTTTTAGTTGTTATATCTCTTAAAGTCGTTTTGATTAAGAAAATTTATTAATAATTATTTCTTTCATTATTTCTTTCATTTAAATATTAATATATTTATCAAGTTTATTAGTGTTTTATTTAAGAAGTTTTGATTAAGTATATATATATATATATATATATATATATATATATATAATAGTAAGTATATATATTAGCCGTATGAAATATATAATATTCAAAAAACTTTATTTACAACAAAGAAAAGTTATCAATAAAATTCTATTCTAGCGTCTTTTATATCAAAAATAATTATTAAAACAATTTTATTTTACCTTAAATAGTTTTTCACATTAAAATATTAAATTAATTTTTTTTTCAAAAATCAATATAAATTTGAAGTTAATTTATGGCTTATATATTTAATTAAATACTTTTTAGTTTATTAATAACAGAAATTACTATAACAGCAATTTGATTTCATATTGCATAACTAAACGTAATATTCTATAAAAACAATGATAATATAGAAAAATAAAATTAAAAACTATTGCTATGTATGGTTGAATTCAAATTAAACATAGAAAATTGTTTTGAACATCTCAGTTATAAAAAATTATTACATTAACTAATATTATATATTATATTATATATTGTGGTATAAATATATTCTGAACAAATTCTATAATAAATGCATCGTTATAAAAACTGATGAGAGCATGTTTCATCGTATTTACATTAATTTTATGGAATCAGATTATATCTTTTTTGATTTATTTATTTCAGCTCAGAGGATATAAAGTGACAGATGTAAATCGTATGCGGAAAATTGGTATTGCCTGTAGAAATTTTCAAGACCTTAAACGAAAAGCATGTTCGAAGTTAAATGTAAGTATATATATGCTAACAATAGATTATATAAATTAATTAATTTTATATTATTTAAAACGTTAAACTGCTTTTGGATATTATATGTGATAAAATTGCGATACTGGAATAGATATCGTATCGTATGAATAATGTAATATATTTTCATGTAATATAACTGCGTATGATAATGTAACGAAATTTATCATGTAAATGCTGCGCATCCAGGTTCGTCTAGTATTCGGATGATGAATGCTTCATTTTAAGCAGGATTTATGCAATATTCGAATTGTGACATTATTCAACAAATAATGTGAGATTTCATTTCAAGTCATAGGGCAATTAGCTGCTTATGCACGAGATACATTTAAAATAAATTTTAATAGAAGTACTATTGTAACTTTGAATAAATAGCAAATATTGAATATTAGAATTTATAAATGTTTTCTTTCTTTAATTTCTGATATTCTCGCATTATTTATAGAATGAAGACTCAACACAATAAAAAAGCACCGATATGTGTATGTTGTGCCAATCATTGCTGCTCGATTTATGCTTACATTCAATGCTTTGCTAGAATGTGAAATTTGTCCTTGCAATGAAAGCAAGAATAGCGCTCGGTGCACATGCACTAAACAATTCATCATTGTGTTTATTCGACTCGCACTTGCAGGTTCAGTGCATCTATTCTTTCCTGTATTGCTTATGCAGTAATTGTTTAAATTGTGCTGAGTAAATTGCGCTTTTGTTCCAATTTTCTTCCAAGTTATTTCGCACTTCTTACTTATATCTATGATTTTTAATTAGTCAGTCATACAATTATGCGCGATGGAATGCATAGTAATCTACGGGACAATATATCCATTGAAATGCAATCGCGTTATAATGATAATGTCTGATCTTTAATAAAGAGATAAATCATTTATTAAACAAAGATTTGCATCAATTAACTCTCCTGCATAAATTATGCAGTCTTATGATCTTATTTACGTATCTCTCTTTTCTTCGATCTCTTCATCAAGCACCAAACTGATAAGTGGTACGTTTAGAAATGTATGTAGTAGCACTCAAGAAATTATATTTATATTATATAAGAAATTATATGTGTTGAAAATATGAAATTATATGTCTTGTACTATTATATCCGATTATAATATTGTCATAACTTTTACATGACAATTGACATCTTCTAATAACAAATTTTTATTTCCAAATTTTAATTAAAGTGCATATGATTCACATTCCTTTTATTTTTTATAATACTGTAGAAATACATTGGAGTTATTATTATAAAATTGAAATATTATTTGCTATTTAACATGTTGAATTTTACTGTTAGTTTTACAATTTATTTCACATAAGAATTTAATAAAATGGTAATAGGACGAAAATATCGCGCGCGATAAAGAAACATATATATAAATATATTTATTCCGAATCATAGTATCAATACTCCGAATTCGTTCAGCTATTTTTGATATGGAAGAAATCGGAAGTGTACAACATTGTTGACAGTATTTCGAGAGTTAATAGATAGGTAGGTTAATCCGGTTGCAGCACGTCCTTGAAATCCGTATCCACCCGCCCGCAACCGCTGGCTTTATCGAACCAGCCGGGCCAGGGACAGGAAATAATCTCAATGTCAAGGGCGTGTGAATCCATTTTCCGTGTTGACTTAAAAGTCGACCCAAATATTTCCGACATATAGCAACTTTAATTCGAAATGACGCAGATTTACGAGCTCGCAGGGCATCTTCGAACAAATTGTTACGAAAAGAAATTAGAGTACAAATTCTGAGTCAGCTTTAAACGTTATGATATGATTATTATTATGAAATTATCGCGTAATCTATGCATGATATGAAGGTGTTTTAAATATATATATCAAACCAATGTTTCGATTGTATTCAGCATTGATTAACAGTTGTGTTATAACCACTTATTATTAAACATAATGTTATAATTAATAAAATTCTTGAATGAAAACGAATTACTTTCTATTTACTTATTTTGGAACTTGTCGAACTTTAAAGGTTTTGAACTTTCAACAACTTGGATTATCGAAGAAAGATTTGAAGATGGAATATACTCGTGGCAAATTATAGATCCGACCTATTTTTTCAAACTCGTTGAGAAAAATGTGAAAATGACGCTGTCACGAGGAAAGCGATATAAAAGTAATCCTTGAGTTCGACCTTCGGAGAATTATATTTATGAGAGACGGCGCATTACATTATAGGATTGACGTCTGTTTGAGATATCGAGTATTCTCTTGCAATGCTGCATTATCTATCATTTATTCAAAATAGTTTGTTCATGGACGTTAATTAATCTGTGGCTACGTCCGATTAAAGCTCTTTCGTGTAACTGTTTCTTTCAATCTCATAATATCTTTCATATAGTGTCAAAAGAACTAATTATACCTAATTATTGACAATAATTTGATCAATAGTAATTTGCAAATGATAATTTGATACGTTTTTACAGATAACTAATGATTTGGCAGAAGTGAATGTTTTTCTCTTGGATGGATCATTAATCGATGAGGAATATTTTCACACATTAGAACCACAGACTACTCTCATTTTACAGAAGCCAGGAGAGAAAGTATTATCTGGTCAGTATATAATAATATAATTTATAAATATATGTATTGTTTATATATATTTTATGCATCTCATAGTTTGTTATTTCGTTTTTATATAAAGAAGAAGCTGTAGAAAAGGTCACGCTGCTAATAGTATTTTTATATCAATTTTTCATTTTTCTACATATAAACTATCATGTTATTAATTAGTTTATTAGTGTTTATTTATTTTTTAAACATAAATTTATAGATTTTACTAATATTTTCTTTATTGTAACTGGCGCTTTTAGCACAGTTAGTTGTTTAATTTTTCAATCAAAATAATCGCACGTTTTTATCAACTTCGAAAACTGTCACTGCTTTTAAAATATCTCCTGTACTTTCTTAAAATACTTTTACATTGTATATTTATCATTGTTAGCTCTATAACTTAAGAGTATATTTTCGAGATTTATTGCTTTACAAATTCAACCGAAGTTTAACACCATAACAATAACTAATGTGTACTGCGAGTTTGGCCGCATGCCAAAATTAAATATTCCGGTCCAGTATCGCTCTCTTAAAAGTTTACTAACTTCTTGGCAAAGGCCGAGTTGCACTCTGGGGAAAAGTAGATCGTATTTTACACGGCAGCAAAGACGCCATGCAATTCCTTTTCAAGGACGAACGATTTCCCGCAGACGCGGACATTCTCTACGATGCGCTGAGACGCGTGAACATTGATTTCCTCACTGCCGGCGACAAGGTGACGCAATTTCTCACGGAAAATCTTAAAGCAAAGGTCGCCTTGTTGAACAAAGTGTTGAATAAAGATGACTCCAAGACGGCACTTAGTACGAGGGACGAGCATCCGGAATGGTTTAAAGATTTGGAAACTAATTGTATCACCAAAGTGAGTTCAAGGCGAAAAATCTGTCTTATCGTTACATATCATTTATACCGTTTTTTCGTTTTAGTTAAATTAATTTTAATAGATTATAAATATTTTGAAAATGTACACTGAAAAAATTGTATTCGTTAGATAATATAATGCACATACATTATTTAATGTAATTAATAATTTTTGAAATTACAAACGAGATACTTTAGCTTTTTTTATTTTTGAAATTTAAACTCCGTAGAATTTTCTAATTAATTCTTTGCATTATCCATAGGAAGCATATATGCATCGCAGGTGTCAAGATAGGATACGCACTTATCTGTATAAGACGATCGAGCAGATCAGATGTTCGGACGTGTATATGAATGATCGCAAGGCGAGGCAACAGCTTCTGCGTGCGATAGCGTTCTTCAAAATTCAGCTTAAGGAAGATCACTATTTCGGGTATTATTTCGACAGAAGCAGAGCGGAGACTGGAAACTTTAAGGATGATAGTGACGAGACCGATTCTAAACAATGTTACGAGCATTGTCCTTGCAACTTTGGCCATATCAATGACGAAACGTATCTGTATCAACCATATCTTCGTCTTCCTCAATCGTCTGATACAAGCACGACTATAGTCGATTCAACCAAGACCGACGAAACAGATGCGAGAAGGCTCGTCAAATCTGAGAAAAATGCAAATGACGAGATATTAGAAAGTTGCCCGTATGGTGTGAAGCCACAAGGAAAACAAATCGCCATTTGTGATAGGAAAGGCGAATTTAAATGCGAAGGCCGATGGAACGCGAACGGCTGCGCCTACAGCGATCGACACAGAATCAATCCATATAGATCCAAAGAGGAGCTCGCTCTGTTCTCCACATGGAATTTGGATCACAAGTAAGATAATAATGATTATAATATTTTTTTTGCTTATCGATTTTTAAAATGCTCGACAACTGACTTCGGGAAATTATTAATCTGCATGCATGCGTTTGAAATTCTCTCGATAACTTAAATTTAAAACAATTTATTTTCGATGTATCCGATAAGTACAATGACTCGATTCATTATTATTTGCAGAATTGAAAGGTCCAGAACGCTCATTCCGAAATTACTACAGCTGTCGCAGCAGGACATCAATGAACAGGATATCTATGACTGTTACGACAATCTGTTTACCGTGAAGAATTTAAGACTAGTTCATATCGTATGCCATGATAAAGGATCGCACAAATAAGCTTCGACTTTAAAGTTTTTATGTTAACATATATTACGTATATATGTTATGTATACATATATTACATTATTAAAAATATGATCGTGAGACGCGTGAAGGCCAAGATATAATTATACAAGAGTGCGAGATGATGTATACAGATGGATAATATAGATAGAACAGATCTCCTCATGCACAGATCTCTATAAATAAGTATATTTAAGTGCTGTTGACAAAAGATAGACTTAGAGATTATTAATGTTAATATAATATCTTGGTTATACTTCCATTGCGGCATGAAATACTAAGCAATAATATTAATAAAAAATCATAAAGTGTCCTCTAAAGCTTAAAATACTGTAATTTATATTGTGATTTTTTTGTTTTTGAAGTAGAAAATTTTTCGAGCAATTACTGTTGACATAATAATTATAAATTTTAAATATTCTGATTATTTTATGCGATATGAAAGAAAACAGGTTCAGAATTAAATATAACAGAATCGTAACATGTTTAATAAGAAAAATGCTCACTTTAAAATATCATTTGACGATGACTGTCAATTATAATAGAAAATTTAAAAATATAAATGTAAAAAAATAATAATTTATTGTATAAGAAAAGAATTGAAAATCGATGGAAAATCAATGTCTCCTAATTATGACATGTTCTAATATTTTGATTCCGATTGAATGAGAGATTTTCAATTCTTATAATAAATTATTTTTTTTACATTTATATTTTTAAATCTTTTGATTGTCTTAATCATATTCTAATACGTTTTCTTATACATAAAAATTATAATGACGTAATGATATTAACGTCTTTTCATATAAAGACATTATTTATAAAAATCAATTACGAATACAGGGTTGCATAAGTCACACGCAATGGAAGAACCGTAATTTATTCCAGCGCCTATAAAGTTGACAAAATGAAAAAAATCAGTTGTTTCAGATATATCGTTAAGCATTGAGTATATTCAGTGCTTGTAGATAAAAAAAGGGACTAAAAAAAATCCTACTAGGAACAAAAAGAACCTCTTTCATGCAAAAAATCACAAAAATATAAGTCTAATTCTCTATTAATATCAGATCTGGTTAAAAACTAAGACTAAATTGATTTGTCTCAATTCGGTGAGCTATTGCTCTTCTTATGATCCGAGAAAAATATACGATAGAAAATCTTTCAGACATATTTTTATTCAGACTGCTCGATAAAGAGATATAAAACAAAGTTCTGATATATACACGTATACATGTATACAAAAACATACACACACATATATATAAATTAAATCATATATATATATATATATATATATATATATATATGTATATTGTATATATACATATATATGTTTTAATTTAGAGAAAAAAAATGATTATATATGTACAATATTATTCTTTTATAGATAGAGTGTATCAAAATTTGGCGAGTTTATTTATTTTTTTATTAGTTATTATTTTATTAATTATTTATTAATATTTAAAACTTTTTTGTTAACAAAAAATTAAAAAGAACATTTTTTAATGTTCAATTATAAATATTTTTATAATTCAAATTAAAATCTTAAGAAAAGAAGTTTGCTCTGCATAAAATTGAATGAAGAATATATATATAATCTTGTTACTTATTTGTGTGTTATTTCTTCAAATCTATCGCTTCAAATAAATTGGTGAATGTTCCTTGTTTTTTTAGATTGCTTAATATATTATAATTAAAAAAACTATTGATAATTAACTATTGACATTTTTCAAAAAGGCAAGTTAAGTTGGAAAAAATCCATATTGAAAGAAAATGCAAAAATTCTTGCAAGCATCTTTATATATGTATTATATATTAGGCGATGTTTTAGAAATTTTAACTGTACGAAAAATGATATTTTTATTAATTTTTCCATTATATTTGTATTATACATCTTGCAATTATATGAACTTAGCATACGGTATTGTACTAAAAAAATATTGTTCCTAATTAAATCGAACAATTTGATTATTTCATATAAATGTTTATGTGTTGTGTGTATTGTTGTTTATGGAGTGCAAAGTTATAAAAACAATTGTTATGGTTTTGACCAATGTACATCTTACTCTTCTGAGTAAACATTTGTTATTCATATCGTTTCTAATGTTTGAAAAATATTATATATAGATATGCGCATCAACAAATGATTGATTAAAATTTTTTTTAAATAAAAGTTTTATATATAATAAAAAATACGTTATATATATTTTCGTGTAAAATTACACAAAAGTATTCAAAAATTTCATTGAAAAATATGAACATTAATTCTAATAAATAATTATTTTGTTATAATGAATTAAAATCTAATAATATCATGTTTTATAAAAAATATAAATTCAATAAATTTTATTAAAAATTGAAAAAATATAATTTTATTAATTTATTTTAATCTCTATTTATTTAATCATTTAATTTAGCATAAAATATAATCATATTATCAGATATATAAATATTACATATAAATAAGTATATAAATATTGATCATTTATTGGTGCTCCCACCTATTGTAAAATTGCAACTATATGCAAAATTAAATTGAAAATAAAGCAAAATTAATTTTATTCAAGATATGGAATAAATTCCTTTCGTATAAAATCTAATGAACATTTAAGTCTTCAAAATCTGGAACGTTATATTTAATATAATATAATAACTTGATATTTTTTATAATTTTATAATTTTAAATAATATAAATTGTTATATTTTATTTATTCTTAATACATCTTAATACATCTTTGTATAGTAAATAAGTCATTGTCAAGAATGAAATGGGTTAAAAAAAATATTTTTTTATTATATATTTATTTTTTAAACATTTTTATAAACAATATATTCCATATCTTTGATAATAACATCAATTTTGTGATTATTCGTTTTAAGTATTGCATTTTACAAACATAAATATTATTTTGATGGTTTTATTATTCATAGATTAAGGATTACATTTTATTTATTTAGAGACATTGGTAGACAGATATTGATATGACTGCGTATTGCAATTAATTATACACAATATATATATTTGTTAATTTTATCTCATTGTTAATTAACGATGTTGATGGTAAAGCGTGCCAATCTAAATCTTAAACATACCATCACATTTTACGTTAATTTTGCATTCTAAATTATTAGTTAATAATAAAATATGCCAGTCTAAAATGTATGTATATATATATATATATATATACATATTGTACTGATGTTTCATATAAATAATATTTTAGCAAAAGAATTCACATTATTTTGATACATTCGTTAGAATTTTACAAGTTGTTTCAAAACAATATAGAATAAAGATACCAAATATGGAATATATTTCTATTATGTAATATTTTCTGAATATGTAACAAACAATGATTATACAGTAATACAATTAGACTATTTATTAAAGCGATGTTAAAATTAACAATTAGAAGATAAATTTTATGATTAACTTCTTCTAATATTTTTCTTAGAATACTTAATATTTGATCATTCTTTTACATTACATACAGACAATGGCAATTGTTGTACTAGTATCTAATTTTTAGATTACAAAGATATAATATAATGAGATAATCAAATGGTATATAGATAATTGATTATAAGTTTTTTGTATAATTAAATAAGTTTTGTATAATTATTTCATATATTCAAGCCTTTTTTTTCTTTTTAAATGTAAATTCGAATTTTTTCAATATTTTCTTGCATAATTTATATTATTATTATATTTCTTGCCATAATTTTATATTATTCCAATATGTTTTTTAAATCTAATAAATATTTTTTATATATGTGAACGACACAACAATTTCAAACGAACATTCAATCGATAAATTGGAAAGCAAATTTTTTATAAAGCAAAATGTAAATGGTATTTTTTCCATATTTGGTATCCTTCCTCTATAAATTTTTCATCGCTTTTATTGATAAAGTACGTGGCCAATTTGAATGGCCTGTTATTTTCAATAAATTTTTAATCAATAGTCAATGCAGTTCAAAGTTCTGTTCGACATATATCGATAAAAATTGGTATTATTAAAAGAGTCAATACTATGTGTACCAAGAATTGTATTTTTTAAAGAAGAGGTTTTATAACTGAGTTTGGAGGCAAAAATATTTTACTGAAAATAGATCATGTTAAAACTTTCTATAAAATTTATATGTACAATGACTGATATAACTATAATGAGTTTTTTTCATTATAATCTATTAAACGTTAATTGTAAACGCATAAATATTAACTAAAAAACTTGTTAAATGTTAACAAAAAAAACCGTTTTACCAAATGTACTCAAGACTTGTTTAAGACTTATTAGCAGTAACGCTTTTGAAATAGCATTAAGCATTGATTTTGGGCCATTTTTCACTATCCATGAGATTTGTGTGTCTTCGAAATATAGACAAAAGAAATATATATTTGAAAGAATGTTATATAAATATTTTGATTATATTATATGCATTTAATTATATGCTGATAGATAGAGAAAAAGTGAAAAGAAGAAAGAGAGAGAGACAGAGAGAAATTACATTGTTACATATGCATTATTTCAATAGTTCATGTATTTATGTATAATTTTCTGTTGAAAAATGATACGAGTCTTATCACTATATGTAAAGAAAATTTATTTTTGAATAAGATAATTTTCAATCGTGCTAAATCAGAATAAAGAAAAACTACATAAAAATACGATATCTCTTTGTAGGTTACATGTAAGTACAGTAAATATTTTTCAATGTATAAGAGAACTGAGTAGAAAAATATATTTTAGGTACAAGAAAAAAGAAGAATTTCATTATCCTTTTATCCTGCTCTTTAAATATGGATATTAATTTATTTAATTTAAATTAACCTCTTTCTAATTTTGATGAAATATAAATATCTAGAAAAGCTAAAGTTAATTTTTTATTTTTATTAACATATATGTATATTTGAATACTTGTTTCAGAATATTTAAATGTTACACATATATAAAGATGAAAATACGTAGATTTCACCTGTCATCTTACGGAGCATTATGCATGATACTGATACATCGTGCTGTGATTTCTGAACTATTTTGCATCAGGAAAGTATATCATAATAAGTTATAATAAGTTTATAGATATCATTGAACGCTATCTCTAGGCGATATCAGATTACAGGAATTTAATGTCATTTTTTAGTTGAGAATCGTATTATCAAAATCACTATGATATGGATCAATGCATATAAATAGCGCACAACATAAGATAAATAGCGCATAACATAGATAAAAATTTATAGCTGTTGACATTATTGAAAATTTAAAAAATTAATTCTCGCTTTGATGATGGCAATTATGTTCTTCGTTTAAATTTTCGTGCATTTTTTCAATTAGTCAA